TCACGGGTTGATTAACAATAACTAGCATCAGCGATGTCTCTTAGGACTGATGAGGAATGTTTCGACTACATTCACTTATCCGTTAGCTTTTAGTATTTGAACAGTAAGTTAATTTATGACCTTAAGATTACACTATCATACTAGTTGATTTCCCTTGGGACGGAAGAAGTTGCAATTACACTTATCTACCTAGTAGATTATGGCTCATGGTAGGTGGTGTCCCTTGGGACTGAGAGAGAGATATTGTATTTATACTTATTTAAATAATAGATTATGGTTCGTGCTAGGTGGTGTCCCTTGGGACTGAAAGAAATTGTAATTATACTTATTTATGTAGTAGATTATGGTTCGTGCTAAGGCATGTCTTTTGAGACTGGAAGAGATTGTAATTATACTTATTTACGTAATAGATTATGATTCGTGATAGATGATGTCCCTTGGGACTGGAAGAGATTGTAACTTATTTATGTAATAGATTATACATAGTTCGTACTAGGCGATGTTCCTTAGGACTGAAAGAGATTATGGTTGCACTTATTTATATGATAGTGTAGAAATAACATTTTTAACAATGGAATAAATAAACAATAGATTATAGTTTCAGCTAACTGGTGTCCCTTGGGACTTATTATAGTTTTAACTATATTTTTATGTTTAATAGTGTAGTAGCTATCTTATCTAAAACCTTTAATTTAATGAATAACCTGATTTATTACATGGTTGAATTAACTGATGTCTCTTGGGGATAAGAATGGCTATTGTTGCATTTAATTATGCATTAGCTAGCTAATTGATGTCCCTTGGGACTAGAAGAAATTGCAATTACCCTTATTTACGCAATAGCTAAGTACTGTAGCTGATATATATCAGAAGTGATTGAGATAGATAGTGGAGTTGATAGATTATGGTTTCTACTAGCTTAATAATTTTATTTTGAAGCTAATGGCTTTTATTTAACCTTAAATTGATACTTAGTGATAGGTCGTTTGCTGTCATGCTCTTGACCTATTGAGGAAAGTGTAGTAATTGTTTATTAAAAACTATGCTAATAATATCTAAATAATTATACATCTTGTCAATCAATCATTCGAAATAGAGAGGAATAGTACTTGTAGCTACAACTTGCATGTATAATGTCATTTATAAATAGTAAATTGCTATAATTAAATCTTAAATTGTTACCAAACGAGGGAGATCTTTATTTGACAGTAAATTAATATTTTAGAATGATTTGCAGCGGTCAGTATCTTCCAACTGATTTGTTATACTCCTATTCTATTAAGTGCTGCACTCTCTTTGTTGAGATTATACTCACTAACGCACTGCATACTGTCACGTTATTGAAATGTCTATCTATATATACAAGCTAGGGAAAAGTATGGGTTCCTTATCAACACTGCCAGTTAGATAATACACTCATCATGAATGGATGTCCCTTGGGAATAACAGCAACCATAAAACAAATTGCTGTTACTCCCTAGGGAATTACCTTTATTATCAAGAATTATTAACCAAGATGATGAAGTCCCTTGAGAATTGAATCGAGTTTTATCAGTAAAATGAATAAATTATTATAGCCACAACAACCAAAGCACCAGTTATGACAGATCCGAAGTAGGCCAATGCGATTTACCTTTTGAGACTAACTTTTAATCTTTATCGCTATATAACTTCGTGTTAAGCTATTGCCGAGCAGAGAACTTAAATTAGCTGCTTTTCATTAGTGTTGACATAATTACTGTCCCTTGGGAATAAAACTATTCTTTTGGAGGTCCCTTGGGAATAACCAATTCATCTTCCGGTTTCTATAACTACCAGTTTCGTCGTCCAGCTGTCCAGTGTCCACCTGAGTATACCCTTATGATATTATGCATACTAGTCAATTTGTAACAGTATCTATTAAGTAGCAGGAAAATAGATGAGAATAAATGTTACAGCAGTTTTCGGTGTATTAGAGTTGTACGAAGTTCTATAAATGATCGATTATGGTTCTTTTTGAATCATACTGGATGAAGACAAACTTCACAACGTCGAGCTACTTCTACTTTATTCCGACTAATACGATCAACGCTATGTTCTCGTGAAAGCTATAAAATCAATTATTAACGAGCTGCATTCGCAATAACGAGTCAATCGCAAAAGCTTAGTCGACCTAACCTATATAAGCAGAAATATACTGCGACACAAATACTTAATCTATATTACTGTTCAAGGTGCATTTGCACCCTGACAAATTCTTATAGTCCGTGTATGTGTCCAATTGTATAGTGCATGCTTATGTGTGTGCGTGTGATATATACAGGTTGTGATATCGCTCGAATCATAGTATTGCCTACGAATTATTTAGTATCTGTGGTGATTTTTATACGGGTTATTTTGTTTCAGTTAAGTCGCACTTTCTAGTGGGACTGAGTTTGTAAATGTAATTTGGTGCCAGAAATAATAATGCATCAAAGTGGATTATACGGTGCATAACAACTTATTATTGGGACCCTTTCCATGTAATCAGTTAAACTAGGTAGTTTTATGTGCTGGAGCTGAAGTAAATAATGCTTTAAATATCTAAAATTATGTAGAAGTTATTTTTATACTGCTGATATCGAAAATTTTCAATCTCCGATAAATTAGCGAAAGGTTTCACTACATTTTGAACGCTTTCAGAGTACTTTCTACTTTATGATCTATGACTTGCCCGCATGAATTAGCAATAAGTAACTAATATTAGCGATAGTTGCGTTTAATTTTAAAAAGTTGCTAAATTTCGTAAGGGATAGTCTGTTTCTATATCAAATGCAGTTGATATATATTTGCAATTTTGATTATTGTGAAACTGATAATTTTCTAAGCCTTTTGACCTATAATCGTCATCCAGTCTTAGTTTATGTATCTACTATAATCCAGGGACTATGAGTTGGAATTAAAATCATTCCAAAGTTATTATACCGTACAATATATTTTATACTGGCTGTTAATTTAAGCATTTCTAGCCAATTTTATATATATGAGTATGTTCCAGCGCTAATCCAGTATAGCTATAAGTACAGTTCTCTGAACTTTTAGCTAGTCTAACGTAATTTTTTCCCAACTTACGAAAGAAGTAAACTCAACAGCAGATATCCCACTATATCTTAAAGTTAGATATTACTTTTTGATAATTCAATTTATTTTAAAATCAACTTGTAATGGCTGTGGTATGGACTACGCTCATACCTGTATATTTTAGAAATTGTTATTGTCCGTAATACTTGGGCATTTTTTCTTTTAGAGGAGTTAATTTTGCAGTCCCATTTATTATTATAAATACTGATCTCAATCACCATGATCACCCACCATTCAATTTTATGATAAAATAATTATGAGTTATTCTCTATTCTAAAATTCTCGAAAGAGTTAAACTCACTAATTATTAAGTAATTGTATGTGATTTTTTTAAACTGCGAAACCTCACTTTATGTGTATTACTTAATTATTTAACTCGATTATTCACAGGCTTAATCTGATTTAATATGTACGTTTCTTATATCTCCTTCACCGTTAAATTATTCAATACGATAATAATGGATTCTTACACTCTTAATGAATTTAATTGATACAATTGATACCATTGATCTCTTTGTTAATGAAAAATATTTTTAAATTTAATAAAGTTAGTATTATCGCTTTTTTTAAATAATTTAACAAAGTTTTTAAGATATTGCCTGCATATTTGACTTACTAGTAAGGTGTATTGATAGATAATTACAATTATTTGTAGGGTCATATTGATTTATTATTCTTTTTCAATAGGCCATACAGGTAAAGGTAAAGACATTTACTCAATCTATGGAGTTGAGAATCAGGTAGAATTGTTCGGCCTTAAATTTTTATTATGTAATTGTATAACTTATTAACGATTGCTTTCCGTTGCTATATTAGATTGGTAGCATACCTCCATACAATCATCAACCAGTTGTTGATGTTAACCTTCATCAGAGTATACCAGCAGCAGCTAATCCAGAGAATGAAATCAACGTCTCTGAGGATTCCCAAATGTCTATGACTACATCAGCATTAAGTGCGGAGAGAGCAAGAAAAACTAAACGCAAAATGGCCGAACCAATAACTCCGCAGCAGGTACCTTGATAACAAAGATAAATTTGATAATACTCAAGTTAATGCATCTGTTTAGCAGATTATTTACGAATGATTTTGATAACTTGAGTCAAAATTGTTAATCCAATTTTATTACTTATAGATTTATCCAGATTCAGCAAATGATTCTATACCTCGTGTTGTGCCTAATCATGGTAGTAATTCATGTCCTGATCAATTCTTTCCTCGTAAGTTAATGGGATTAATTTGTCAACTAAAAATTAAATACCTTAGCTCTAATCATATACGTGCTTTGTTGGTCATACGTTTCATCTTTCTTTTAGACTCTGACAGTAGTAGCGAACTATGGCAAGCAAATCACGTACAACATCATAACCAGAATAATTTCCCTCCAACTGTTCCTACAAATCAGGACTCTATAACGCCTAGTCCGGTATATTGACATCAACAATCATGAAATAGTATAGTTAATCTTAAATTATATGTTGTGGTTATAAGAGCATTAAGCAATCTATTTTTTTAGCGGCTGTTTAGCTCTTATGCAGAAATTATTATATTATTATTTAATAAAGTTTATAAATTCTTTTACATTGAAATTGCGTAGCATTACAGCAACTTACCTTTGGACCACAACTCGATAACGTCAGAACAGATTAATTCAAATTACTCTGGAATTTCTAATTATCAACATCTTAATCAACATCAGCCTATGATAGTAAATAATACAGCCTTTGGATCTACACCTGGTCATGTTAATAGTCCAAGTGGGTATTTACTACAAACATATTTCTGATGCTTTAAATTTAGACGCTACAATTTTATTTTTCGGCTTTCTTTAGAAGCCCGAAGGTTAAGAAGTAATTATACATAGATTATTTGTAAAATTTTTTAATAAAATGCGCTGTTTTTTCTTAAAATTGCAAATTATTCAAAATTCAAGATTTACCCCATGCAGGCGCTAGCGGGGTATGTTTACTATTTAGACTTATTACATAATCACACTTAAATTGAAGTCATTCCATCAAATTTGAATATTGATTACTTTGACAATTTAAATACTATATTTCAGGTATATCAATCAGATAATGCCACTTCTACTTATTCTTCGACTCCATCAACTCCATTAACTACAGAAGCACCTATCACAGTTGACAGACAAATGTCAGGTATGGGATAATCAAGTAAATCAATTTACATTTAATTTTGGTTAGCATTACTTCGAAATTTGAATGATTAACGTAACATGATTATGATCAAATAAGGAACGCCTAATACTACAATGTCATCATGGCATCGTCCTCAAATCAATGGAACAACAAATCAATTTAACAATGTTATGACTGGAGTAAGATTTGTTTCTAAAATCAAAATCCTTGTTAATTATAATATTTCAGTCATTTGAGTCTACTGTCTTACAATAATAATATGTAAGTAGAGTACAATTTTATACACTTGCTAAGTTTGACATTGATGCAACGGAATTAGAAGTATTATGAAACAGTGATGACGTTATCGCTTGTTAGATATAATATAATAATTTCTACATTATAGCAACCGGTGAGAGTTAACGATCGCTTGGATGATGCCATCACGGTTTTAAGAAATCACGCAGAATTTAATGCTCCTAACTATCAAAGTCAACATAGCAGTGTTGTTTACAACTCTAATGCTTTCACTAGTATGCCCATAACTGTTAGTGAAACAAATACGATGGATACAATGGTAAACAAAATAGGGTAGATTCTAATGTAACATTCAATACATATTTTATTTATTACTGTCAATATGAATTCGTTCGTTCTTAGGTAACTCATGCGGTTGACGTTGGTGAATCATCAAGTAATCCAATTGATCGAAGTACTAGCTCGAGTACTCCACATACTTCAGGCAGCAGTAGTAAGTCTATTATTTGCTTTTTACACTTAAGATTATTTTAAGCATTGTCCATAATTTTACTTATCTGTATAATCTTAAGGAAGTTTGGTGATTCTTTTTTTTTATATTATTATTCTATTTAGCATCGACTTTGAGTATTGCAGTTGCATGCAATGAATTTGATGATCCATGTCTATTTAAATGCGTATGTAGCGTGCTAAATGTATGTTGTGTTTACAATATATTTGTGTAATAGGAAATTTAAAATTAAATAAGCGTGATAGGCAACAACGTCATAAGACTGAAGATGTAAAAGATGAAGGTGATGAATCTACAGAACGAATACAACGCGAACACGATAGAAGACACGCAAATAATGCTCGAGAGAGGTATGGTCTACATAAAATTAATTAATGCCGGAAATAAAGATGATCGATGGATTGATGTCGAATTGCTAACACTTATGGTTTCAATAGTTATTTAAATACTTCTCGAATTCATTTCTAATGTAGAATTCGTGTCAGAGATATTAACGAGGCATTTAAGGAGTTAGGGCGAATGTGTGTTATTCATGCACCATCAGAGAAGGCCCAAACTAAGGTAACAGACATATCCTACACGTTTTATGTTAGGTTAAATAATTAAATATTCGCAGTGACATGCTTAAGTTGATTTTAATACAAGCAATGTAAAATCTGAGATTCTAATGAAATAAATATTAAATATACGTATATATTTAAAAGAACCATAAAATAGATGGTATTACTATATCACCGTTAACCGTAACATCGTAATTGTCAGAATATTTCAAAATTGAAATCGTAACCTTACTTGAGTTTTTTATGACAATATTAGTTATCTATTTTACATCAATCGGTTCAAGTAATAACGCAGTTGGAAGCCCAAGTTCGAGGTAAATAGCATTATATTGCTGTGGTAGTGATACTAATAATTCTATATATGCGGTACCATTTGATTACGGATGAAGAAACAAATTACTATTATTTCAACTTCTGTTATTCAAAATCGGATTGATAATTTGTTTGTAAAGTGATATACTAATCATTGATTTTGGTATATATTTTAGAACGGAATCTCAACCCTAAAGCAGCTTGCTTAAAACATCGTGAAGAAGAGAAAGTGTCTAGCGATAGTTACAGTCCATCATTTAAGAACTGTAACGATGACGATAATGAACTAGATGATAAATTCTTTCTTAATCTAAATAAAGTAGGACATCGTGGTAGTACTGATGATGATGATGATGCTATTGATAGTATCAATGCAAGTTGTGGTGGCAATAATAGACACCATGTTAATCAATTATTTGGATCCAATTCAAATTGTCTAGCTAGTAACGATAATAACGATATTCCAAACGGAGATTTTAGCGAAATAACTAAGCGATCTGACAGTGGTACCAATATGTAAGATTTTGTATCGGTGATAGTATTAGCGAAATATTATCTGTTGTAGATTGATAATGAATATTAATGAGTAGATGTAATGTGCTTAGATAGGATGTTTAAGTAGCCCATTGGTGAATGAAGTAATGCTATCCAAAAAAATTAGCAGAAAGCAGTTATTTTCTCCAATTTAAATTTTAGATGTAGTGATTCTAAATGATCCTGATTAACTTCTATATAGCTACTATTTTAAAATGCTTAATGTTACATTTTTTAATAATGTTTGGCACTTCTACATTGATGTTGATCATGAATTGAGAATGTTTATAGAATTTTTCCCTTTTATTACTGCTGTGGTTCATGATTTGATATAATATACACACAATTTCAATGTCCATGTGTCGTATTTCAGTAGTGAAATCAGTTTTCAACATTATTGTTGTCTCGATTATCAAATTTTTAATTATTCGTTTATTAAAATTTGTATTAATAATAGATCATTGTTTTAACGATATCATTAACTAATCGTAGTTTCGGTATGAGAAATTGATTATTTTAGTTAGCGCTATTTGGTCTTTGGCGATATTCATAACAAGTAAATATGTTGTATGTGTTGAGAGAGGAATGGACGAATAGATAAATTACTAGATTTCTTTCATTGATTTACTTTGATTAACTGACTGTATATTTAGCTTTCATTTTATGATTGCGCTTGATCTCCTTTCTGCTAACAATAGCTGTTGTAATTAACTTATAGCTTGATATGCACTCTGACCAATACAGTGCCGTGGCAATGACCAATGCATATGCATGATATAAATAATAACGGTACTTTCGTTATAATAAATTTTGTTAGTAATTTATTGACATTGTATGTTCAAAGTAAATTTTCATCTACCTCTTATCTTATAGCTCGTTATTGTCTTGCTTAAATTAGGTTGTCAATGATTATAATCCGTGATTTATAATAACGGAAATTATTAATTATTGATGCCAAATTCATGAGTACTTACTATTATAAACTATCATCCTTAAATCCGCCTAGCATATTGCATACTAATCTCGATTTTATCAATTGATGGTAACTGAATAGCTTGACCTACTGCCAGTACGTAGATCATTTTCCATGGAAGAATTGACTATAGTTCACTAAAAAAGTCTTACGATACAGTTAGAATATTGCTCAAGATATACGACGTATTAATGTACTTAAGCAGTAAGTGAGTATTCAGTTTTGTCGGTACAGTACGATTCGGGTAATACTTATAGTAGATAAATACCTGTAAGTACTGACAAGATTGGAGTAATTCAAGTACATGCACTGATCATAGCAACAATTTTCTACTGATTCCATGATATCAATTGGATGAAATAGAACATAAAAGATTTTACAGACCACCATGACCTCATAGATTGAAAGAAGAAATTTAGAAATAGTTTTATTTTCGATCATGTGTTTATGTTACTTGGAATTTGAAAATTTATATGTGTACGTCAATACTACCTGTAAAGACTTGATTTATGTAAAATCGTATTCTTATTTACATCTTGACATGTTAGTTATAAGCCTTCCACGTAGTCTACAAAAGGTGTTGTTTATACAAATTGATTATTCTAACTCTTTCAATAGAAACTATTTTATAGCTAGCCTTTACTGATTACTTATGACTATGACTAGATTTTTGTCTTTTCTGCGCTTATTTGTTTTATTGGCAATACAGATAAATTATTCTCTCAATCGATACTATTTTAATCGAAAATCTTAGCGATAAGATTAGTATTTTTATTGGTAGACTTCATAAATTTCATCATCTGGTTTTTGTCTTATAAGTGCACTATCCAATTTCCCTATTAATTGCTTAGGATAGATTGTAGTAATTATAATGATTATGATACGACTCTAAGTTGATCTTAGATTACACTACATTCATAAAATTTTAATTCATGCCTTGGTCTACTAAGCATCTTATGGTATACATTAGACCTAATTAAAGAGGTATAATATTTATTAATAGAAAATTAATAGTTTTAGGCTATACATCTTACAATTAAGATAATTTTATAAAGCGATGCGTACAATAACTGTAATATCGACAATTTTTACTCTGTTTCTGTATAATTGGAATACAGTAAGAAATTAACTAGCAAGTTTTATTAACTAAGACAATGTGATGACATATACTAAATCGATATAAAATTAATGTTCAGTTACGTATGACAATGAATGATTTTGCCAAGCTTTGATATATGCATGACTTATAATGTAATAATGATTGTATCTGATGCCATGTGGTTATACTTTATGCTTATCAATATGGTCCATTAATCGTATAAATTAATATACTGCTGTAAATTTCTCATCTGAAATTAGACAGGATACAAAAATTACAAATCATCTGGCCGATCTATCCAGTTAATTCTTACCCTTATTCCGAGCATAGATATCCAATCTTGATAGGAAAAAATTCGGAATTGAGTAATTCATTTTAACATTATGAGAAATCTCTATTGATTATTACTTATCAATACTGATGATCAGTTTAGCCAAAAACAAAAGCTAATGCGTAGCTATTTTATGATTAGCTAAAGATCGTGTTTTGAGATTGAGAACGAATAAGGTCAATCGGTTATTGTGAGGACTTAAAAAAATCTAAATAATTTTAACGCATAGTCTTATGTTCATGGCGGCAATACGAGTATTATGAATTAAAACTGAGAAGGAACACAAATAATAGGATTAACGATGAGAATTATTTAGATATCCTTATATTACTATCACTACAGAATTTGATGGAACAAGCTGTAAGTCACATAAAATATAAATACTTCCTTTGCGAATTTCGAATAAATACCAAATTTTATTAATGTATAGTTCCGTAAATAACCAAGATTAATTAATCTTTTACATAGATCGTATTACTTGCAATTCAAACATTTAAATTAGATTGCCAGAGATAATTTTTCAGCTAAATATTATGCATCGTTAATGATTAATTTATAATTATAATTGAGCTACGTTCAAGAATATTGATTCGTATTATTTATGCAGTGCAAGTAGTCATGAGGTAAGAATAAAATAAAAGTATCCCGATAGTGATGCATTCAGTTTGTTGTGTTTCTAAAGGATTAAAATGACTCAAAATTTCATTACTGAAATGTTTCTTATTACATAATCACAAATGCTCGCGCTTTATTCTTAATTTTACAGCATTTATCAAAATTATCTGCAAAAGGAACATTATTTAATTGACAAATCGTGCATTGCTTTCGTTAAGCTATTTTCAGTGGCAACATTATTTACATATTTAAAATTAGTGACTGAAATTTTATCCCGAAAAAATTAAATGCAAGAAACTATTAGTACTAATGTGTCATTTTATAAATATGTTCATTGACTTATCATATGTCTTGATTTTATCAACCTGATATATACCATTGGCATACATATACTCTTATTCCATAATTTGCTCTATTAGTTATGCTCTATTCGATCGTCTAGAAATGAATTAAAATTCAATTATTTCAGCCAATAATACATAATAGAGTTTGATTAATGGAGATATCATAATGCATGAGATTTATCTTATGGTGACTGCGTAGCTATCTTTTGCATCAATTTCTAATTAATGTAGATCAGAATAGCTAAATTGCAGCTAGTATTTTTTTAAAGCAAGTGTTGCATAGTCATAACAAATAGCTATACATAGATACCTGTCTGTAAGTTTTAATTGCATTACTACATCTACAAAGCAATGGCTGCTTACTTCATTACTGGGGTTCTTCCGGCTAATCGTACACTTTTTCTCGTTATACTAATTGAATTCTATAATCCCATTAATATCACAAAGATGGTTCAATATAATCATTTATTACTGCAAATACGGTTTTGCAGTAAGCGATAATAGGTATTGCAATCTGTAAGTATGATTCATACCTCGTCTACATCTGCAGAACTTTCACTGCTTTTTCTCTTTCGTCTTCATAATATTAAAGCAAAAAAACGCTATTAACTTTGTAAGCTCGAAAGAGTAAGTTAATATATACTTCGGTACTAACTCTTTTTCTTCAAGTTTATCAATTGATGAAAGAACATTGACACCAACAGATTTTCTTTTTGTGGGTGTGGACTATTATGAATTTACATACAAAATAGGTTATTTGCCTCTAACGGTAAAAGTATCAGAAATTATTGAATATTTACCTCAACTATTTCTTTCAGTAATCGAAGTTTTTCATCGGTTTCCCATAGTTTTGATTTCATTTGCAATTGGCTAGCTTTAACTCTTTTATCCTATGGCAGAATATATATGTAACAACGGGGAATTGATCAACTAAAAAATATTACCATTACCATTACTTACACATTCTCGCTCCCATTTATCCCTCTCTTGGAAGACAGCTCCTCTAATAGCCTTCAATATTGAAAGAAAATAGTCAATATGAGCTAGCTTCGACCATGCAGCCATCGACAATTTTTAGTATACTTAAATAATAATGCATTTTATATCCTAGTTGATTTCATATAACTTCAGTTCCATACTATAACATTACTATATATGTTTACCTCCTTTAACTTAGTTCTTTCTTGTTTTTCATCTTCAACCATTCGTCTATGCTCAATTAACTAAAATGGCAGTACATAATAATTTTAAGTATCTTTGTAATCAAATGAAGCCCTCAAGTTTTATTGTATTGTGCAGTAAATCAACCTGCAATTCGAGTTCCCTATTGCTTGTTTCAAAACCTTCGATATTCTTCTGCAATAGCTCGATCTTTTCTGAAGCATTTTTAAGCTTACGCTCCAAACTTTGTACCTCTCTATTTAAGATGTTGATCATTTAATTAATTTAACCTTGCCAGTAAACAGCATATTTAATATTGTTAGAGTTTCTTTATACTGACCTATCCTTGTTGGAAACTTCAGCTTTGAACTCATTTAAATTCTATTGTAAATTAACAATATGTCACACATTAAAATGATCGTCTGTTGCTGCATGATTATATTGGTTAAGAATTAGGTATTGTTCAACCATCATAAAACATAGTTTTTTCTTATTATTTGTATTTATTTATACCTTTGACATGGCGTTATATTCACCTTCTACCCGAATGAGCTCATTTCGAAATAATTGCTCTGATAAAAAAGTTATAATGTAAGCTATAAATTACATTCATTTTGCATACGCCTTAATTTAACATTACGTTTTCTTTTGCGTTCATTATTTAACAGTTGGCGATTAGTAAATCGATCCTTAAGGAATTTCATCAGAATGGATAAAATCTTTTCATCATCGGCTGATGATAGCTGTAAGGATTGAGAGAAATACGAACAAATACCAGATATGTAAGCTACATTTCGTAGAAATTAAAAGCTAATCACGAATTACCAAGTAATTAGGAAAAGGAGGTCCAAGAGTTAGTGCAATTTCATCGCCACTCTCGTCTGAAGTTATAAATGATTAAATTTGGAAATGATTACAATAGATTCAGCTGAATGCTAATAATAATAATTATAAATTAGATTCTGTTATTGTGCTAATAAGCAATAAAAATGATTATTAACATCAGCTATGCTTATATGTCATAGTTTTAGCTGCATTTTTACCAATCGCGGCTACAATTAACAAAGACTACTCAAGAAAAATCTTCTGAAATTTCTAACCTGTAAAGCCTCTTTCTGCTACGGCATCGGCAACTATTAATTTATTGAACGGTGGTGATAATAGAGATTATTTTTATTCACTATCAGCACATTAATGTTATATGAAAGTCACAAATCACCTTTTCTCCTTCCCGGCATTAAACCTTCTGCAATACTACACAGGTGATTTAAATAGCAAATGATGAATCAAATAGTTAATCAATCTTTTCATACATGATTCATATGTAGTAGCAACTGCAAAGATTATATAGATATAGTATTTTTATACTAGAAGCACAAAGTACGTACTCTATTTCCTTTGCGCGAGTCACAACTACTTCTTTTGTTACTTCAGCAAATTTCATCACATGCTAAAATTTTCAGATTATTGATAATATGAAAATTACTATATAAAAATTAAGCACAGACTTTGTTATTGATGCAATATAAAAGGGCTAGAGCTTACAATACTCTCATCATAGTCATCCGCCAATGGATTAAGGCAAACAATTAAGCGAGCCTATACAGATATAAAATAAAACGCTAGCAGTTAAACGAATGGTAAACCAGGCAGTATATTACAAAATGTCAAGGATGTAGCTACGTTAACCAAATTTGTATTAACTGACTTTGCCTTCGCCTTCAAAAAAGCTTTTAAATAAGTGTGTCAGCTTAGAATCACGATATGGAACCATCTAAAATTGCAATTAATATTATTATATGCACTGTATAGAAGTTAATACTGCGCCGTGTAGTATGATTGTAATTACTGTATATGATCCTTTTGCTTGATTATCTCGGAGGATTTCCATACATTTACGTAAAACCATTAAAGAAGAATTTATATTTCCTACAAGTCAAATTTTTATTGTCATAATGTTTCCCAGCGACAAGTTACTACCGTTCAATGGCAAGAGTAATCATTCTTTATAGTTACCTGCTTCTCTTAGTCTATCTCCGTCACTGTTGGTCCGTATTGTTCTTTCTGAACCCGCTAGGTCGACTAATGATAATTGGCTAACGGCCATCCTATTCTTGTCCTTTGTATTAAGAAAAGTTTTATATATACGATATTGATTTGCACTAAATGTAACAAAATAATGGATAATAAATTCGTAATGGATTGTTAACAAGAATTGCATTTTCATACACGAATTAAATCTAATCCTGTAACATCCAGTGGGGCTTGAACCAGGCGAATATTAAATATGCTATGACTTCGGCTTGATTCATGGTTCAAACGGGTATAAGCTACACGTCTCCTTTGCTGCCCTAAAAGATTATAAAGTATTCTTTTTATAAAGCTTTTAGACGTTAGTAATATACGATTTGTAGCACCACATATTAACCTTTCAGAAGTAAAGCGTAGGCTTCATCTGCTGATCTGACTTCCACTTCAGTGCAGTTGCTAACAAACATGTTGTGATTCAGATCTTCCCGTAATATTTTGGAATTAGGTAGCCTTAAATAAAATTTGATACATGAATATTAACAATGCCATGATTAAAATTTATATATCGTATCGATCTTAAGCCAACAACATGAATAACATACTTGGATTTGTTTATATCATTTGATGGCTCTTCTAGTAAATCGTATACGTAGTTGTTATAGATTTCAACCAATGAAACAAATACCGAGTATACATTATCTTCGTCGGCCTATTGAATGGTAAGTAGTAAATTAAATTAGGAACTAAAACAAAAAACATAGACTCTTAACTAGTTATCGTAATTATGCTTTTTACATTGGTAATTTTGGTGTCGTCATATATTCTCTTAATATCACGTCCAAAATCCGCCTGATTCCTAAACAATTAATAGGATGTCTTTTGTTAGTTATACACGTATATGTTAACAAATTGCAAGCATTAAGTATTTAAAAATGGTGTTCTATTCAGTTATCAACATGATATTCAATAGAAACAGCTTAGGCTAAAGCCAACTTTAATGTGTTGACACGTATAGATGATGGCTTCTTTTCATTAGCACTTTTACGGTCTTGTTTTATATTGCATATTTCAAAGCTGTTCACTTTATCCGGTATGAATGTCTAAGTATGTAATGATGAATTCAATAAAGATTTTATATGATTTTTCATTATGTATAGGTTGGCTGTTCGTATTAGAGCTATCAATGATATATTAGCTATATTGTACTATGCGATTGTGATAATATTGATGCTAACACTTTGGGGAGCCATGAAACTTCCAATAGAGTTGAAGATAACGTCCAAACATCGCGGTAAAATCCCAATATCAGATGATGTTCCATTCATTGTGAACGTCTTGCCGGAGCATGTTATTCCATATGCAAATATTAATCCTAGACCCCATTATAAATACAATTCTCGATAATTAATTCGTCATTCAATTTATCAATTCAGCAAGTAATGTACTGTATACTCAAAGCTTCCAAAGCAGTCAATATTACCATTCTTTCCATGAATAAAGTTTTCAACCAAGGGTAAAGCGATGCGATTGAAAACATCTGGTTGATTTGCGCCTCGATCGAATACATGCTCAAAAAAATGCGATGTCTATTCAGTAGAAAACATGTGGTCTTAGGTCACATAAAATATACCATGTTATCATATATGGTTACGAGATAATTACAAATCATAAAGGATGCGGTTGTAATCGTTATATTTTCTATTTTATGCGAGAATTATCATGGAAGAAGTATTACCTGACCAAGCAATAGTATAAAAACGCTGTACGTTACGTACTGAAAATATACTATACGTAATTACAATCATTCAACGTAACTTATCAATATTACGCACTGACCTCTGTTGCGTGATTCATTTTGGCAGCATTACAACCCTGCGGAAGGATATCATAAAAGTATTTGTTACCACAATGATACTAATTATAGCGATGACAATTAAATAAAGAGAGAAGATTGTACACACGACTACAGCTAAAGCAATTGCGGACGTTACGATGATATATCTATTTCAACTAGCTATAGGTACAGAAATTGAATCATTGTCCGCTAAATGAAATAGAATCATGACATAGTCTAAATATGATCAAGAGCTACGTAACGTTACATTCACAGGGTCGGTGTCATTAACGCTTCATGATGATTTCGTACAATATGGCTAAATACCTGAACCTTGCTAATATATCTACAACATCAAGGGCTTTGAGCAGAATGACCACTACCGCAGTTGTAATTTATCATGCAATACTTAAACGATTACACAGATTTCCTCTCACATGTCAGGTACTTTATTTCTAGATTAAGTACTGGGGAAATGCAAGACTACGAAGACTATACGCAGTTTACTAATAAAATACTAAAGCAATGATGAAAGAGAAATTAACTTTGCGCGTAGATTGAATTCATTAGAAAGTCAGTGATACTACGATAAAGTTATCTAATTTAGTGAATGATATTGAAATGATGTTACTCTTCGATTTCAATTTTATGGCAACTTTTTACTTTACATGCGTAGATGAGCCAATAAATATTTTCGTGCTTTGGATAGCACAGTATAAGATACACATCAATTTTGTATTATGTATCACATCGTGCTGATACGACAAGAACAAATTAATTGATCCATACCATAATTAATACAAACAATATATTTGCGGTCTTACTTGTGTAGGAATAAGTCGTACTTCTGTTTGGCTAACTGCTTGAGCGCATGATTGTGTGCGATCTTTGGGCAATGGCCTAATCCTACAGTAAACCTACAAAGTATAGAAAGATAGAACATTCGATGTATTCATGAATTAAACAATAATAGTTAGCCATTGATTTCCATAGTAAACTACGATAAAATCAATCCATTTCCTCCATTTTGGTGAAAGCAAGCAATAGCTATCATTATAAGAATGAAGATTGTAATTATTGCATACTAGCTATTTTATCAGGAGTACTGTATTATTTATTTCAAATACACTAACTAACCTCTATGGGATCTTGTTCATTTCTAGCCTTCTTGGGCGTCTTACCGTTAGCTCTGGTAAATAAAAGTGTAACATTATCCATCATAGGAAATAAATTGTGCAATATTCTTCAATACATGCTCATAATTGCCCTTTTCATTTGGATTGCAGTCCATAATATATTATCAAAATACATATTGAAATGATCAACGGTAACTATTTAAAATAGATACGTTATGAAAGTAACTCATATTCACAAATAGAGTATCGTGGATAAATGATTCCATTCGGACAGCTTACCTTAATGACATTTTTCTCCTCTTTCTTATTGCAATGGATAATGTAAATTGCAATCGTGATTGACCTGCTTGTAAAATAGATATAAAAATACTTAGTCATACAGTATACGAATATAGATTTAGAATACAATCCATTAAATTATTTTAATTCAACTAGTTTCAAGCTCACTTGAATAACGAACTCCCTGGATGCAAGTGATAGCGATGGCAATAATCTTGGGTAATCTTCTGCAGACGATGACTCACTTCTAGTTTCTCTTCAATAGAAAACTATCCCCTATCGTACAAGTTGTGCTTGCAATCTTGCGTAATCTCTTGTAGACGATGGCTCGTTTCTAGTTTTACTTCAACGGATAACTATCCACTGTCTTACCAGTTGTGCCTGCAATCTTGGGTATTGTCCTGCCGACGATGGCTGGTATCTAGTTTCACTTCAAATGGAGAACTTCTCCTCTCTCTCTCTCTCTCTCTTACAAGTAGTACCGACAATCTTGGGTAATCTCCTCTAGACGACAGCTCGTTTCTAGTTTCACTTCCAAAGGATTGCTATCCTCTGTCATACAGTACAAGTTAGGTCTTGCGATCTTGGATTAATGGCTACAACGAGCTAATGGATGCCAGTGCAATGGTTAGCTTGAGGAAAGATTTTGTAGGATGTGGCTATTTCTTCATCCACAAAGGCATGTTTACTTTTCGTCAATGGCGGTTGAACTCTAGGTGATCGATGGCATGTACCAAACCCTATAGTGCAGTTACTATGCCAAGGGTCAGATAGGAAAGAAAGAAAAACCGCTTGAAGCGCACTTCAAACGATCCAATCATTTGAATTGATCATCACATGACCGCCAGCGAGACCACACACCGAACCACAATGGAGTCAGCTATCCCTGCGCATGTGTAAAACCAGCCACTTCTTGTAAAAATAGGCCACAGTAACAGTATGGACATAGTGTACACTGTACTGTACAGTACACTATTAGAGAGTGGGTGGTCCAGGCCTGTGTGGTAGCAGATGGTACTGTGTACTGTAGGAAATCCATGAGCTTATGTGAATATAATGATTCAAGTATTATTGAAAATTTACTAACTAAGATAGAATCTTCAGCTCATCAGCTACATGCTGGTATAAAAATCGATACAGTTTTGATATTGATAATAGCATTTCAATAGAATTCCTATATTCTGAAGCGAATGTAAACATGCTGTATGGACGACTGTACACAGTGTACAGTGTACAGTACAGTACAGTACAGTGTACAGTATAGTGTAGAAGAAGACCACAGACGGAACGTTGTCGGTAGAGCAATGGCCAGCAAAAACGATATTACTACTGGCCCATCAAAGTCTGTTAAACTTGTACTCAAAATAAAATTAAATGAAGCTAATTACAACATGCTCATGGCAAGACAGAAAGGCCTTGGCCATAGTAGTTCTGAAATATACAATTTTATTTCTAATTATCGTGCTAAACTTTGTTTATCGAACTTTATAAGCCTTTAGAAAGCAGCTGACGATGGGATAGTATATAATTTACAGTACACTACAGTACTGTACAGTGTACAGTACTGTAGTTATTCTTGAAATTTGGGATGTCAAAGTATACTGTATAAGTGTACTTGGAAATGATTAGAAATTAGTGCTATGTGCTTTGACAATTCTTGCATGGACACTTAGGGTAAAGTAGCTAGATATTAGGACTACAGTAAAGTACAGTACGTATGGTATTTGTACGTTAGTTTAAGTCATTTTTTACCCTTTTTCCATTTCTGAAGAGAAAATAAACGCACATTACACTGTACTGTACAGTCGTCCATACAGTACAATGCCTTATCATGAACTACTGCCAGGGGCCTGCTTCTGGTAGTCGTTGACAGCTACAGTACACTGAGACCACGATCTACTGACATAAATAAATAAATTGGGCAAAATAGGATGGGAAAGTGTGAATTTTTTCACCATATTCAAAGTTAACTTGATCAAAACAGACCGTTAGTAGTATAATATTATTCATCATTAATGAATTGATTCATTAGCATCCCCATTCAGTATACAGCAGTACTGCTTCGTTCGTTGGCGCACAGTACCGTACAGTATGCATTAACCGTTAAGCCTTCACTACTACGGTACATCAAATCGTGCAGATTTTATCCTTCGACATGGGTTACCATAGAGTAGTTTTCAATTGCATTTCCAATGGATATTTTTGCATGTTAGTGCAGTTCAATATGGCTGGCAATTCCTGAGCGTGAACAGGTATGAACAGGTATAGTATAGCGGTGAGCGAGTACTGTAGAAAGGCAAAATTTTCAACGGTTTACGATCCGATATATCACGTGACATGACACTTGTCACTGATTGGGTAGTTTAAATATTCCGCAGTTGATCTTCATTCATCTCCTATACAGCTCCTCTGACGATACTCCAGGCGACTATGATGACTATGGTCTAATGCTTGCGACCTCGAAAGCAGCCTGATCGATGCTGCCTTATATAAAAGTAGAAGTTCGTTGCAATTAACACCCAAAAAAAAACAGCATTAATTAATATTATTCGTTTTGGATGGGATCACTGCTGCGATTGAAGTTTTGATTTAAGCAATAATTGTTGATATTATTACAAACAGAACAGCTTGACTTGAAAGCCTTGTACATCAAAAATGTCCAAAGGGTAAGTAAATTATGATAGATTGATTAAGGTTAAACTGAAGGCATGATGGCGGTCTGTCGACTGCTGCCATGCAATAATAATAATAAATAATTCCCACCAGAGTTTCAAACATCTTTTTTGCTTAAGCTATCATCGATTGACTAGTTTGAAACACACAGCATGATTGCAGTCTGTAGACTACGTATTATAGATTATAATAAATAACTCCGTTGAAATAAGTAATATCTTTCATAGGCCAACCTCGATTGACTTCAATTATGCAGCATAGTTACATTCTTAAAAGGAGTAGAAGAAATGAGTCTAGCGAATGAGTATAATTATTTCTAGGCTATCAATCATATTATTTGTAATACAGCTAGAGATAGAGAATTTGCAGTTGATCATATAATCTTTGTCTATGCCAGAAGTCTATCGAGAAATTTTCGAATTTTTATATCTTTCATCTGCTATCATAGCATCTTTCATGGCCTGCCAAGTAGAAATGGACGCTTCAAGATATCAATGTCATATCTTAATCCAAGAATATCATTGCATGTACAGTACAGTAGTCCATTGCAAGCTTAAGACAATAAACAGACTACGCAGTACTAAGATTGGTGTGGACTACATCAGTACATATTCTTACTTGGGTTGGATCAAGTAGGATACTGATTCGAACTACATAATTCATTTCCTGTTGACTATCTCATGTAAAGTATCTTTCATATCAAGTCTAGTGACATTTATAGTTTAGTAACTTTCGTAGTCTATCCACCAATGGATAATTGGCATGGATCATCAGTCATAAAATGTATATTGACTATCTTATTCTGAATGCACGACAGCATTAATTGATCTTTAGTATACTCGTATCACTTTAAGTCTAGTGAATTTCATTCTACTGTATCTTTCCAAGCCACGTAGGTTGCCACGTTAACTTGAAAAGCCTGCATGTAATCGCAGTCTTTTGCATTGTAATAAATTGGTAGGCTATCATATTATAGATGGACTTGCTAATGCAATACGGTATCAGTAAACGTACTATCTTGAATTACTTGATTCGACGCACTATCATGAAATAGGCATCGTCAATAAGTATCGTGCTAAAAACTCGAATTAACAGACGAAATTATTGTGATCATAGGTATATGAGAATCACTGTTATGCATGGTATTTGTTTTCCATATATAACTTGCATATCTTTACTTGCCAGCTACATTAAAGCTTATGATGTAAATATCCGAGGCCTTATATCTTACTGTATACTTCCTAATGTAATAAGGTTGCTAATATTAAATTACAAATTTTTGTAGAAATTTCAGAACGCCAAAAAAAGCGAATGCGTATAAAGATCCGGTGAAGGTAGAAGCAAAATCTGTCTTAATATATTAATACCCAATAACTCAAGGCTCTTCATTATACTGACTATTCTGCTATTACTGCTGCAAAGTTACTACACATGTACTTGCTGTTGAGCCATGTAAAGTAGATATAAATCTGGCACTGCAATGGAATCATGTTGAACTTATTATTTCAGGTTTACTGCAGAATTCGACCTTTACCATTGGGGTCTACCGAATCGTGTATTTCATCTGTTAATGATACTGAAGTTCGACTATCCCCTCCGCAGGTAAACACTAGCAGTAATTAATGATACGTAAATTCCTCATTAGAAGTATTGACCTGTAATAGGAAAATAAATATTTTTATCAGTGTCATTATGCGGTCTATTTCTATGGTTACTGGATAGCTTAGTTACCAATAATTGGAGTACTTGAAAATTTTAGTAAACCACAACTGCGAATCGAAACATCATCCACTTTATACTATGTCTACTTTAGATTTTTAGGTGTTGCTAGATATACTAAATGTTTGTTGATTTATGTTCAACTAGGAAAGTCATGCCGCTCGAGTGAATAACTGTGATGAAGTAAGTATTAATTAGTAACGCTAACGATTTGGTAGCGTTCTTTACATGGTTAATATGGACTGATTAATTTTCTTCTTGATCCATCCAACAGACATCCCACCACTTCGAGCGTGTATTCAAGGAAGATGTTTCTCAGAAAGAATTGTTTGATACCTTTGCATTGCCTTTAGTCGAGGACGTTGTTCGCGGCAAGAATGGTTAGGATTAACATATATAGTCTTTATGATATAAGAAAGTAATCACAGTACCAAAATTCTTACAAAGGATTACCTCATTTATTGACTAGGCCTATTATTTGCCTATGGAAATACCTGCTCTGGTAAAACCTATACAATGACCGGATCTTCGTCAGAAATCGGAGTATTACCTAGATGCCTAGATGTGCTTTTCAATACCATCAAACCTTATCAGGCTAAGAAATGCGTAAGTACAGTATGTAATTGAATGAAAATTCATCCTAAGATTGAGTTAGTTCATATATTAATTTGCCTCATTAGATTTTCACACCGAATAAATTAAATTCGTTCGATATCCGAACGGAAGCTGAAGCGTCATTTGAAAGACAATACAAAGCTACCAATCAAGCACAAGGCACACCTTCGCGATCAAAGTAAGGGAACTCAAAATTATGAATTGAGCTGTTATTATATTGATAAACTTTAGAATGGTAATGAACTGTTATAAATTTTATAGAAGAAAAGTGGACTATTCAAAACGATACCATGAAGGCATGACAGTCCAGGGTGTAAGTTGGGTCCCTCCTTTAGTCAATAACCACTTTAGATTTTTCTTCATATTAAGCACGTGATCATTGGTAATTTTTACGGACAATTGCAAATTAATGCCATTTAATAGATTGATGAAGACAATGCATATACTGTATTTGTTTCCTTCGTGGAGATTTACAACAACTATATTTATGATCTCCTTGATGATAGCTCTTTCGAGATTGCCCGGTAAAACTCAATATTTACACTTTGCAATAATACTGATGCTGTATAAACTTGCCTAAGGAAGAATTACATATAATAAAGTTATCCTACAATTGACTTACATTAGAACTCTAAGTTCTAAGGCGTTACGCGAAGACAGCACTCGTGGCATGTACATTAGTAATGTTACAGAAGTTGAAGTAGCCGATGCCGATGCGGCGTACGCCCAGCTCATCAAGGGTATTCTATTATTACATGAGCATTGGAATAGAAATTTTTAATATTGAATATACAATAGTATTATTTTAAATTTCTCCTCCATTATTTTAGGACAACAGCGAAGACGAGTTGCTTATACAAAATTAAACCATGAATCAAGTCGCAGCCACAGTATTTTCAATATTCGGCTAATTCAAGCACCGCTCGATGATGATGGAGAAACTGTTTTAAGAGTAAGTCTAGTCGTTCAATTAATTATTGTAACTATGAACTGTAATCATATTAACCAAATTTCATTTTTTAACTTAATTATCTACAGGACAGTAGCAGAATAGCAACTAGCCAGCTATCATTAGTAGATCTGGCAGGGTCTGAAAGAACAGCCAGAACGAACAACGAAGGAGTTAGATTAAAGGAAGCAGGTTAATTAATATTTGACCTTAAGATGATATTATCTTTAAATCCTAATTACGAATTTTTATTGGTAACACGCAGGGAATATTAATTCCTCCTTAATGGTTCTGAGAACTTGCATGGAGTGCCTACGCGATAACCAAGCAAATCAAGTCAAAAAGGTCTGTTAGCAATAGTAATTTACTACTGTGAGCAGATATCTAAATATCATATTGCATCTAAGCAATTTTTATTCTGCTCTACTTGATTTTAGATTGTTCCGTATAGAGATTCTAAATTAACCTACCTGTTTAAGAGTTATTTCGAAGGGGAAGGAAAGGTTAGTTTAAGCAAATGATGTGCTGTATAAGATTCTTTAAAAAAATAGGATTTAATTAGAGTCGTATCCTATAGGTTCGTCTGGTTATATGCCTTAATCCTCAAGCCGCGGATTACGATGAAAATCTAGTAAGTTATTTTATTCTACTTGAAGAAGTTTTTAATTAATTAATTCAGAAACGTATACTTAACTTGTGATAAAAGTAACATTGACAATCTCTATCGAAAGGCGATAAGAATAAATAACATTTGAATTGCTTGTGTCGTAGATTTTCGTTATGTTTAACTACATGTATTTTTAGTATTGATGAATTTAATTGCAAAAATCTAAGAGATCATATTTTATATTTCTCTAGCATGTCATGAAATTTGCGTCCATAACGCAAGATGTAACAGTTACAAGAGCTAAGGATATTAAGTTAGTGGATACTTTAATCATCTTAATGAACATAATTTTTACTTGCATTATACTAATTATTATACTAAATGCTGTGCAATTGTCGATTGCTATATACCGTATTGAAACAACCTTGTCCTCTGTTGTATCTAATACTCGACTACTGTATAATGATATTTATAGTATCAACCAAGGTCTGACGCCTGGACGTCGAAGAGGTAAACGAAAGTATACTGTTGAAAATTCTCATTTTTCTCATCATGTTAAAAGGCATATAATATTCCCCAATACTAATTTTTTTAATGAAGTTTTCGTCTTTGTAATTGTAATAATTGCAATTTTTTCAGCCAATATTATTTATAAAGAGGTCGTAAAAAGTATGCGTTTCGAAGGTAATAATTTCAGCTTATGTTTTATTGCGAATTTCTTTCAAATAATTAACGCTGATTTTGCAACATCAATGCAGACGATGGTGAACACTCCGAGACACCATTCAGTCTTGGTCGTCTATTTCCAAACTATTTGGTTCGTACCTAAGATCTGCTACTTACGAGTATATGCGACCATCCTTGATTACACACTAATCTATTTATGTTATCTTAGATGACTGCGCCAGATGATAAAGATATATTGCCAGCTCTCATGGAATTTTTAAGAGAACGTTCCGCTCACCGGGCTGCTTTGCAAATTGAGCTAAAACATAGAGGTAAATAGTCGATGTCACTAAAAAACAGTACCTTTATTATATGTTTATTAAAGTATACTGAATCATTTTAAAATTATTCTACGTAGAGGAGGCATTTAGGAAAGAATTAATGCGTTTCGATACGGAATATCTTTCCATGTCTAAGGCAAGCACAAGATCTTACAATAAAAGTTAAACGCTGTATTTCTAACCTCCGAAATCATTTCTAATTACATGTATTTAATGAGAACATCACCTCACTCTTGTGCAAGCGAAAAATTTTTATTTTGACCATATTTCCTATATTAATTAATTATTATAGAATTTAAATGAATGCAAAGCCGAAATCACTAGCAAAGACAGGTATATTAAGAGGGCTGTTGGCATTTTTCTGAGAGCTTTCAGTAGATAGGTATTAACGTGCATATTCTTGATTCATCTTTAGAGAAGTACAATCATTGGAACGAAAATTAAAAAATTCGACAGAAAAGATGGCATTATTGCAACAAAATCTGAATTCGCTTGAAACGGAAAATAAGACACTTGAACATCAGGTAAGAAAATTTTCAGAAATTTGCGCATTAGCCGAAAATTCTTGGAATACAGCCTATTTCTGATTATATAATTATAATCTGTTTGCTCACTGAAGATTGATATAAATTTTACTAGATCGTAGCCGAACGGCGAGCTGCTGATGAAGAAAGACGAGAAAGAGGTCGACTTAAAGAAGTACGTTTACCAATTTTGTTTGATTGTCTTAATTTGGAATTGTATCGTAAGTGTCAAAGAGTTATAATAAATTATTAATATCATTAATAAGGCGGTACGGGGAGCAGTCTTTCAAGAGAGAGAAAAGTGGGAGAAGGAATGCGTAAGCAACAAATGATTCTAGCGTAGTAACCACTTGTACGTATTATAAACTTATTACTTTTATAATGAATAACGATTATCATTTCTCCATATAGGATAAACGTGTTAAAGCGACACAATTTAATATGAAGTCTAAATTATGGGAAACAGATGAAAAATTACGACTTTTGAGAGAAATTGTCGAAGTAAATTATATGCGTCTTTCTAATATTAGTAAGCATAAAAAAGGTGTTAATGTGCATTTCTCGGTTATGACATAATTTTCTAGAATACACCGACCAAAGCATCAAAACCTTCAGAAGGTATGGTCACAAGGCCTCGGGCTCATGAAAAACCTGAAGGTGCTGTTACAAGGTCTCGGGCTCAAGAACAAAGGATGTCTTCAGCTAAAAATATGTCAGATGTAACGAATATGAACCAAGAAACGCCAAAATCTTCCGTAAAATCTGTTAAGGTAATATCTTTAATGAATGTTGAATCAATTTTAGATTATATTCATCAGTAGTGTTATTAATATCTTTATGTAGGGCCGTGAAGTAAAGAAATACCTACGAAGATCGCAACCTTCGGATATTTGGCTAGAACATAAACCCGATGAAAATGTTGATGAAGGCATGTATTAGCTATATCTATATATACAGTACAGTATATATAATGCATAAATCATTTACCTAAGGTGTCGATTAACGTACAAATACTAAGATAGTATATTCCAAATAGATACTTTATTGCAGCTTAATTTGAGAAAGAAGAAAACTGTAGAAACACCGAAAGTAAACGATTTCGCTAAAGCTCAGGTGCGATTTTTTTATTATATATACATTGCATAGCCAATAGCTCTACTTTAGATAACATCGATTTTTAACCAAAAGGCTAATCATTACGTTCTGGAGCATCAAGAGGAAGATTCACAAGGCGAAATTGAAACACAACTTATTAAAGGTGACGTTTTCGAAACTGAGACTGGTGGCCACAGCGTACATTTCACTGACGTTGAAGTGCTGCAAAAGAGAAAGTCTATTGAAATTAATGCGTGCGTAGTAATTAGGTTTTTTAATTTTGATATGCCGTCTATTACTGATATGGCTTAATACGTCAATGCAGTGATAATATTAATGTTTTTTGTGAATTATTAAATTTTTATTTGTTATTGGTAGGCGTAAAAGACGAAGCAGTGAAGGATCCGCTGATTGGACTGACGTTGAGACGAGGGTAAGACGTGCGATAGTTTAGCAAGTCTAGTCTGTAAGCTATTGGCAGCTAAATACTAGTAGTAAATAATTTGTAACTGAAAGCAGCTATCAAGAAAATAATGAACATCTATATTTACTTTATTTAGTGTTCTATAGCAATTGAAGGCAGGCCAAATATGAGTCCAGCAATTTCCCATAAGCCACTCAAGTACGTATATAACCAATTCGATATATTTAGCTAGATTTTAAATCAGCCCAAGAATTACTAAATTCTTTAAGAATTTTATAATCCATGCTTAGCCCTATATTAACAAGGATAACTTGATGGAAAAAATTTTCTTTGCATATTCCTTTTAGAAAATCTAGGAAATAATTACGGAAGGTCATCATGATAGAAAAATACTTCATATTTTTTGGCCAATAACGAATTATTATTTTTAATTGATTTACCTGTAATGTACTGTAGATCAGAGAATGTTTGTAGTGAATCGATGCAGAAATCATTCAACAAAATTAAATTGTAAAACGATATACTGTACGTGTAATTTATATATATATAGATATCGCTGTAATATAAAACACTTGTAATTCATAATAAAATCGTAATTAATATCATTATCAATAATAGATTAATTGTATTATTGAATGTAGTCGAGTATTTACGGAGGTTTATTATTCTTAGTATTGTGGTAGTGTCCTTCGATCGACTATGATAAACTCCTTAGCACTGCAGTTGTGCTATCGTCACTTAATGCTTGTATCCATGATGAGAGACTCTCAAGGTCTCTACTCTCTATCCATCATAGCTACATTGTGCATATAAAATGCCATTTTACAAAACCTGGCAAATATAATTATGATTCTGGACCGCTAATAAAGTAAACAAGTATGAGTCCATGACCGATCAGAGCCAAAAAAAACAGCGTTTTAATGAAATCATCGCTAGAAAGCGCCTATAGTGCCAGGCTACCAAACCTGGCAAATATGATTTTGATTCTGTACCGCTACTATAGGAAACGAGTCCATGACCGATCAGAGCAAAAAAAACAGAGGTTTAATTCAATCATCGCTAGAAAGCGCCTATAGTACCAGGCTGCCAATACTGTAATCCTTGATTCTACCCGATTCTACTATACTCATCAGCGCCAAAAACAGCGTTTTAATGAAATCATCGCTAGAAAGCGCCTATAGTATACCAGGCTACCAAACCTGGCAAATATGATTTTGATTCTGGACCGCTACTATAGTAAACAAGTATGAGTCCATGACCGATCAGAGCAAAAAACAGCGGTTTAATTCAATCATTGCTAGAAAGCGCCTATAGTACCAGGCTACCAATACTGTAATCCTTGATTCTTCCCGATTCTACTATGCCCATCAGAGCCAAAAAACAACGTTTTAATGAAATCATCGCTAGAAAGCGCCTATAGAACCAGGCTACCAAACCTGGCAAATATGATTTTGATTCTGGACTGCTACTATAGTAAACAAGTATGAGTCCATGACCGATCAGAGCAAAAAAACAGAGGTTTAATTCAATCATCGCTAGAAAGCGCCTATAGTACCAGGCTACCAATACAGTACTGTAATCCTTGATTCTACTATACTCATCAGAGCCAAAAACAGTGTTTTAATGAAATCATCGCTAGAAAGCGCCTATAGAACCAGGCTACCAAACCTGGCAAATATGATTTTGATTCTGGACTGCTACCATAGTAAACAAGTCCATGGCCGATCTAGCGTAAGTAGACTTGTACAGTGTACAGTATGATTCACTGTTTCAATGGTTTTGCCATACCCGATCAGGGACTACAGTACACACACACAGTACAGTACTAAAAAGTATTTGAGCCACCGTAAGAAAGAGAGAAGAACGCTACCCCTGAAAGCGTACTAGGCTGTACCAAGACGTCGACGATAGTACAGTGTACACAAGAAGCTACAGTACTATAGACACTTCGTACCGTACAACACATACTGTACACTGTGGAATGCGGTTGAAAGGTAATTCATTTCAAGCGCGGAGTAGACAAAGAGGAAATTAACAACTTCTAGCAAAGGAAAGGCTGACTTTCCAAGTAGATTCCAATTTTAAAATTGCTACAATGAGGTTAGTAATTCCCTAATTATATTCTAACGTAATTGAATACGTAAGAAATGGAGTGATACTGATGTAGAAAATGATAATAATCTATAGGACATATGGAAATAAATAATAATTAACTAGTGTAGAATTGAGTATTACTATTCAACATCACTGACTCCGTGTCAGTATTCTTGTTGGAGACTTTGAATTACTTCACCACTTAAACTGATACAGTAATCGCAAAGTATTCAAAGCATAAGAAGTGAATAAGCCACGATATGATTTAGAAGTGCAATTATAATAAACTTCAATGAAGGAAAGAGAAAAGTTAAAACAAGATACTGGCATGACTACTCTACGCGTACACACACATTAGTGTACTCATTGTACTCTACTGTAGCATTGCGTTATTCTCCTACAAGCTGATCTCTTCGGTAGTATCATACTGTATAGGCGATTAAATTGATTCACGTCAACATTATACAATCAATATATCGCTTATGTACTTGTACCTAACTGGTAATAGCGATAATCTCAGTTCACTTTGATGGTATGGCAATTTTAAACACCAATGTATTTACATTCAGTAGGCCACTTCAACACCCAAGGCCTAATACACAAAATCAACCTCGAAGAGATGCTCGATTCTCGCCCTATCACAGGCCAGAGTAAGTACTAAATCGTTTCTATCAAGATAGAACTGGACCTGATCGCATAAAATCAAAAATAATTTATTGTAACCTACTGTGTAAATGGACTGCATGAGGCAATACAATCATTATTCGCGACTAGAAATGTCACGATAGTAATTAGTAATCATTTTGTTGACATTCTACATTTACAAAATATTATGTTACTTGAACTACGGTAGGTCTATAACTGACTAAGACCTTACTGTACAAATTACTTTCATTTCGCTGATGGATACGATAGTAATTTCTGTAGGTATCTATTGAAAAATAATATAGTAAAATAGTGCTCTGTGAAGGTTTTGTCGTTAGCAGAAGTTACCGTGAAGATCTGAATGATTTGATTAATTAAACAGTTTATTTTGCAGCCAAAAATGACATTTTTGAAATTGTAATCATTTATAGCACTGGTCCTGTCCCTTACGAAATATTCGATTTTACAAAGGTGAGATATTATGATTCGTTGCAAATATCGTCTGATTATGTAATAAGCGCCACGGTGCTTTACAAATTGTAGTCCTGTGGTCATAATGAATTATAAGTGTATAACATAGGCAAAAATTAGCACTTTGCCTAAGGATTTGTACAGTACCAGACATTTTATGCGAGTATTTCGATATTCGACTGTATTAAATGCTGAAAGTCTGATTACCAACTCTAGCGAAAAGGGATGTAATAATTGTACAATGTACATAAGTCTAATCAATAAAAATGTAATGTGACCCACTAGTCTCCTAGTGGAAGTCCTGCACTTAGTTACTATGAACCAAATTATATAACCACTACCAACGTACGAATATTGTGCCGTATAGTAATGTCGAAGAATTAATCTGAAAATTTTATCTGTGATAACACTGTCGTGAACTACCATAATAATAGAATTATATATAAATGCATATTTTTATATTGTAGGCTGCAGATAGTTTCCCGAATGTCAACAATGGGGTTAATGACGAATTTTCAAAGGTTAGGATCTAATCATGATCTTAAATTACATTATCCTTTGTTTTATTGATCATTGCAGTTCTTCGAGTACGTTAATTAATATCGAGGCAATAATAGAACTATATAGTTCTAATATATTGACATTTATTCGATCAATGTTGGGATTTGGTTGATTGCAATTATGTTCAATTTAGTTAATATTGAAAAGAAATCGAGAGCTTTCCCCTTCTGCGGAAGACCAAGTGAGTGACATACAGTATTACAGGTCACTATGAATTGTATACAATTATGTAATATGGTTATTAGATAAGCTATTTTCCGAGTTATTTATTATTTTAATACATTCAGTATGTGCTACTATTATCGCAGATAATCTGTACAAAATTTAGATTTCGAAATTGTAGAGCTAATTCGCATATAAAATAGTGAATAACTCTACGGTCCTGTGTACTTGTACAGTTCATAACCCTTCATGTAGATTTTAGATGTAACAGCTCGTAGCTTGTGATACTGTTACAATTCAAACTTGTTTTATTATACTCGTACACAGCGACAATAATTTAAGTTGTATCAATCACGATACATTCGGTTGGTCTAGGATACTATGGATACGAGTATATTCCGTCATGATATGATGCAAATGCTATATCGGCCCCTGTAGTATATAATAAACTTCAAGTAATTTGTCTATTCTGACTTCTATTTTGCTAGGCTGCTCTTGCAAGCTTATCTCGTCGTGTATCCTTTGCTCTAGATAATCTGTCTATAGCCTCATCACAAGAATTACCTGTAAGCAATAACTTCCTAACAATCCAAGCAAATATATAGTTTGTGCATAATAGCCGTAAATAAATTACCTATACTAAAATTTTAAATATTTTACAATTTTTGGAAATATTGCAAATTTCTTATAATCCACGAAAATCTAATTCTTTAGTTACTTGAAGATAAAAGAGTAGTTGGATCATATAAAAATGGAACGATAATCAAAGGTCATAACATTGTAGATATTGCCGTCATCTTTAAGGATCATCCAAATCGTAAGGCATATCAATAACGCTTTTCGTCTTATAGTATCCTTTAGTAATAGCTGAAACATATTTTACTACGGCTTTAGTTATAGATGTAGAACGTTTGGGTAAAAGAGTGGTAGAAATTTTAATTGAAAATGCTATTGATGAAAATGAAAGAGGTTAACTGATTCATAAGCTGATATTTCTATTTGCTTTCACAATTTGTATCTACTCGCTCTGCTGCTGTCTATAGCATAAAAAATTACTTATCTGGCTTTATCCTCTTTCTTTAGATGTAGAAATGGAGATGAATGAACTAGGTTAGGCATTTGATTCTAATCTTATTGTATAGAAAATCATGATCTGACACCATAGGTTGCCGTGTCATTCTTCATATTGTATTTTATTTACTGGTAGCCCTGTTAATGGAAACTTATCGTATGACTTTAGACCTCTTCAGTGACCATGTTAACGCGTAACATTATTACGATGCTATACACAGACAACACAGTGTATAGGATTAATATAATTTACTATGTTGCATTAAATTTAATGTTATCACCTAGGCATATTCGTTGATATAATAACAAAGTCGTACCGAGCCAGGCTATTAACCTCTACAGGATTTCACTCTATCAAAAAGACATGTGATTCTAATGACGGTATAATTATAATACATCATTAAACGCATTTTACCCACAAGGGTCTTCTATTCAATAGTAAACACTAAAATGAATGTATTTCTGAAACAGTTGATAGCAAGAGTATCCTTCAAGTTTTGACTGCTGTTCAACACGCAAGATGGTTTGACGAAACTGCAAACTATACAAAGTAACAAATTAACAATTATTTTGTTTCTATTTTACACTCACTAATCTGTATTCGGGCTGTCGGTTGCTGATTAAGACCATTCTCCTTTCGGTTAGCATTCGAATTGCAGTGATTATTTTTAAGGATTTAAGACGCAGAATGCCTCCGTTAGAACAGCTATCAATTTGGATGATCGAATTATTGGTTTATATGATTTCTAGAGCGCATATCAAAATTGCTTTACGCTTCAATGTCGATAAACAGTAAAAGTATAAAATACCTTTTATCTTATGCTTTGATTTACTGTAGGCTCATTACGCTGCATTTGATAAAAATCAACATTTGTTGGAAGTCGGTGCTGTGATACGGTAAGCAATATTAGGCAGGACATTTGTATCCATAACATTCAACTCTAGCAGTGGCATAAATCTTTGTTAACTGTTGTCACATGAAAATTCACTTTGGCTTTATGTTCTTGAAATAGGAGAATGTTTAGATTATTGGCGTCTGGCATATTTTTACCAGGTTCAGCGAGTATTATGGATCCATGTCAGGTACGTAAATGCGTGAACATGAATTAATTGCCAATATTTGTTACATAACTTTAATTTCAAACAATAAATGTTAACGTCGATTATTTGTTATATATTTTGTAACGTAGAATAAGAATTCTAGAGTGAACAGTAAAATGTCATTCGAAGACATGGACAAAGTGGCATGCTTAGCCCAAACTCTACTTAGGCTCATAAGTCATGGCTACTACCAAAAGCTTTTATCTGAGGTTCATAAACTTAAAACACCCGCTTAAATATAATTCAATATTAATATGTTAAAAGTTTTGTCGATAAATTTCTGCTGACCGTTTAAATCTTTTCTCAACTTTCAGAATGACGAAGTAATATTAGGTAAAAATATATAGCAGCCTTTTTATGTGCGATATATTTCTTGAATTAGCTATTAACGTATTCGTAAGTTAAAGAGAGCAATCCAACCATTTTTTATCACATTTTGGTAGATTCACCCATAACATTTGGAGATGTAACTATTACTCCCAGTACTGCGGTTTACAGCAACAAAAAGGAAGAACCTGCAAATTCAGAAGGCCATACTGAAACTTAAAATTATCAAATAGTGTATAGTGTAATAGTGTATGAAGCATGTTAACACCACCAAATCGAAATAAAATGGGGAACACTGCTATATCATGAAACAACGACTAATTCCGATAACGTTTCTTCAGTGTTGAACCGTTATACCGGTCGGACTAAAGAACGTTCTTGGTGATAACTTTATTAAGTTATCTGAAGCAGAAAATGACCTTACTCATACTTGATGTAACTATTGAAAAACCTTTATTCGATATATTGTATATTATATATGCATAATATTAATTGCATAGCTTATAATTTTCTAATTCTTAAACAACAAATACAAATTGCATTTAGATTGCAATTGCAAAAATTAGATGATATTAGACTATTACTGCTGAACCCTTGTCCAGTGTGTCTAAATGATTTATAAAATTAGTGATGTAATAAGCAAATGAACAGCAAAGATATCGTTAGATCATATTATAAAGCTTTGTCTTAAGAACGCTAACAGGTGCAAAATACTATTTCGGTTGAAATAAATTCTTATCGCAATTTTGCTATTATTTCTTGCTTTATTGGCGAATGAGGCAATTACAAAAGTGTCTGTATTAAGGTAGCACTGTCTGTAAATCAAATTGGTTTATTATAGCTGTATTAAATATTCGAGTTTCCTTTGCTTCATTAAATTTCTAGTATGAGGCTATTACAAATTAATTTCGCAACAAGGGTCACGTAAAACACATCTCTGAGTTTCTGAAGTTTCTGGAACCCACTATCTATTAACTCTTCACAGGAGCTTAGCTGCCTTCGCTTGTACGTTACAAGACTAAAAGCTTGATTTTATTCGACAATCTGCCGAGCTTACGCTTAGCTAAATTTTACCCAATAGCCAATTGATCACCATATAAAAATATCACTAAATTTGCGATCTACTCGTATTCTTCACTGTAACAGAGGTAGGTTGCCACATATTGCAGTTGCTGACTTTGCTGGCAATTTAAGATAAGGTATCGTAAGTTTTATGTTAACGATTGTACCGATTAACATTCTGTTAGATGTACTGTGGTAAAGTTACAAATACGTAACCGATTGGATAGTATTGTTATTGAGCTTGAGAACGTTTCAGTAATCACTATAATCATTACTTACAATTCAAGAAGTAATGTAATACACGATTTCATGAATAGGCCCACCGTATTCTCATTGAAGTCAAACTTCAGTGACATAAAATTATATTGAAAAGTTTGCTTTATTACCAATTTATGGACTCAAGGATGATAATTGAATAACTAGAAAAATTCGTATGATAGTCCAAGCTGATACTATGAGTGAATCAATTTTAGTTAAGTATTTATGTGGATTAAACTCTAATTATCACATGATTATTTTAAAATTTAGCTACGGCCATTGATAGAAATTCTAATGTTAACCGTAAAGGTTATGCTGACCATTCTTGTGAACGGGAATCGTAATTAAGATTGACGCGAGAATAGTGATAACATATTTTTCATATTTGGGCATGTTCTATTAGGCGTTACAAAAGTCGAACTGAAAGCAAATTTCGGTAAAGCCATATCGGGTAAAGAATCATTATGAGCATTAATTGTTTTGTGCACATGTGGACAGCGGATGTATTAGTATCCTGAATTTAATAAAATTAAAAGAATTTATAAAATGTCATTTATTATTAGCATCAAAATTCATTTATAGAAACACCCGAATGTAAAACTGTCATCATAAATCATCTTTAAAACAGATTTCTACCATTTATCATATTTTGAATGACATTAATTCCTTTGTTAATTACGGTGTTCGATTCCATATAACTAAAATATTTGATAGATTATAGGAAAGCAGATGAAATATTGATGACTTGGCTTATTGTATTATCCGCCTACAGCCGTCTCATTGTGATAAATAGAAGCATAATATCCTGTATTTGTTTTTATAATTTGTAATTTAAGGCCTTTATTTTAATCAATGAGGAATCTAATTGACGACTTCAGACACATAGAATGTTATCATTCAATATAAACTCAAATATATTGGAAGCAATGATATTCACGCAATAATTATATAACAATAAGGCATAACGTTGTACCCGGACATTTTCTATCGAAATAATGTGCAGCTTTCGTAATTTTTAATTGCATTTAGCTTAAGAATAAGACGATGACGCATTTAACATATTGTAATTTATGAAAATTAAAACTCTATTCAAGGTGCAATATGTTTTGCAAGAAAGAGCTACTATCAACGATATCTTTAATAACTAATTTATAATTATCAGTTTAAGTTAAACTATTTGATAGGATAATTTTGCAGTCATAGTTTCAATTGCAGTAGTGCTTGCATTATATTTACTAATATTTTGCATACAAGTATATGTGTGCAATATTGTTTCATTAAATAAGGATTAATTCTTAACGTAATTGCTTCTTATCAAAAATCGCTATACAGGTTGAAAATTTCTTTACCGAATATAGCAATTTTACAGGATCGAGCAACGCTACATTTCCGGATATAATTTTAAATTTAACAGTTTGCAGCTTTCATTTAATCAAGTTGAATCTCTTCCATCATTCGTCTGAATCTTTACTTATATCACCATCATCGATGAAATTGACTGTTCTCCTCACCTACGTTTGCTTACTACTAAGCGAATTTTTTGCTTCAAGTGTTATTATACAAGCTAAGACTACCATCACTATCGGTATGCTGAGCTCTAGCCTATTCTACTATGCTATTTCAAAGATACAAAAAATTGTTCAGTGAAACGATTATTAAATTGTACCTTAAATGATTTATGTACTAAGATGCATTTTACAATACACAGGCAAAACATAAAAATAGAAAGAACGCTATTATTTTCATTCCGTTTCCGGATTTATAATCATGTATAGCTTGTAGTCAATATGTAGCTGATTTTACTTTCATTCTATCTAGACATAAAGTTGATAGCCTAGCAAAATTATGTATTAATTATCATTAATAGGCCGTAAAGTTTGCATAATCATACTGTATAATCACAGCACATAATTTCTCCTTCATTTAGTTTGCTTCTTATAAAATGGAACTTAATCGCCTTATGTCTTAATAATATTAACGAGATAACACTTTAAATTCCACAAGTATCTACCATATACGTATTAGTTGTTAAAATATTACCGGAGTTTATCTAGCTGCATATAGTAAACGATTTAATATCTAAAATATATTTACAAGATTTTTTCAGCCTAGCTATTATTGATATCAATAATTAGGAGCGTTAGTAGAAGATGGAAGACCTGAATTACGCGATTTACTCCAACTTGCAGTAGATCAAGTCAATCAGGATCAGAAACTTTTGCCCAATGTCGAACTACGGATAAATTACTATAACATCAATACCAGTCAGCCTTACCAAAACCAGCAGGAAGGTAGTATCATTCCGTGTCAAATTTTGTTCAAGTAAATGTTCATTCAATAGCTGGGCGGTAATGTACCGGTAGTTTGTTATAGTTAGTTCGTCAAAAATACTTGATGTAAGTCTATATTGCTTTTCTTCAGTTATTACTGTACCATTAAATCTTGGCGTTTATTTTTTTCCTGGATCGGTTACTATTCTAAGATCTGAGGGAACAGAAACTATAACGTACAATATCACTGCTCCATCCTGATATAAGCTAATTTAATTCGCTATCGAATATGGAAATTTTAACCAATGCCAATTTACCTTTGTAGAGTATGATATTTGTTATAGTGAGAACTACAATCATTCATTATGCTCAGCTATTTCTGTATTGATATATTGTACTAAGGTCTATCGAATGACTTATCACAATTAATGCTCAAATATGTAAATAATTAAGACAATATTGATGATACTAGTACTAATACCAGCTTATTATATTAAGTTTGTACAGCAATGCGCGATAGAATCTGGGCTATTATAGGCCCTATGGCATCAACTGATGTTGAAGCCGTCCAAATTACTGCAAGAGCTTTGTCCATTCCGCATATTTCACCAGTAGCAACTTATATCGGCTTAAGTAACCGACCCAGCTTTCATTATTTGCTACGTAGTTCTCCCTCTGATCATTGGCAAAGCCTCGCCTTAGCAGGTGTTTTCGAACATTTCACTTGGCAATATGCTGCCATCATACTCTCTAATACAGATTATGGTAAGTACTGTAGGCTGATAGTTTCAAAGCCTAAACACTTGTGTAAGGTAAAATTGCATCTAAAATTAGATTACAACAAGATTTTCATAATTGCGATAGAAGATTTGAAAAGGTACTTAATTAAATTTAGTAGCGATTATCAGATTCACAAAAGATATTATTGTTAAGATAATAAGCTTGTAAATACCCTCTTAGCCCTAATGATCTAGATGAGTGACATTAAAACATTGCAATTTGGTAAATTAGGGGACTATAAGTACTATAAGTACTATAAATAATTAATTAAACATGACATTTAGGCTACGTATACAAATACGCTATACAGTAAAGTATGTCTACAAGTATTCAAATAATGAAATGATCACTTAAACTCAAAATTATTGATACTGCCATTATCATTATCGCTTAAGATTACGCTTAAAAATTGATTAAACTGTTCTCTTATATAAATGATAGTAAAATATATCTAATCAATGTTTATTTATATAACTATCATTAGTAACGATGGCCTAGTATACTGCTTAAATAGCGAGCATATGAACTTAACAACACTAATAATATCAGTACATTATCGCTTAACATCATGCTTAAAGTGGAAAACCTATAGCCCCTTTGAAAATGAAAAAATGAAATATATATGGAAGTTGTTATATTGTATATAACATGCATAAATACAATATTATGGTATCTGTGCCTTAGAATAATTCTATCAAACATAATATAGAATAGTAAGATACAATGTCATTACTTCAATAATTTATATACGAGTAATATTAAGATATTATCCAGATGATAATTAATATATTAAAACTATAGAAAAAGTTTCTCAGATCTATACTTTTAGATTGCATCTCTTTTAAATCGCTCGAGTAAAATGCTTTCTAGCAGTTTTAGGTGTTAGTGCTCTACACCTATCATTGTACTCGTCTAAGTATACTACACTATCTATCTCTCTAGCAACTCATAAGCTTACCCATTTATTTATCCAGCTAACCATCTATCTACCTACATTACCAATTAAAACTATAGAAAGTATTGTATTAAAGGTTCAATTTTTTATTTCAGGTATTAATTCAATAAGTACCTTTCAGTCTATTGCTGCTGTAAAAAGCTGGAAAATTTTGGCTACGGAAAGAATTAATATGGAAGACATTTCCAATTCTCAAAAAATAGACAATCAGTTAAAAAGGATTAAGGCTTCAGGTTAGAATAGGCCAAATGCGATGTCGCAATGAGCCAGTTTTATTTCAACTTTCCGCATTAAAATCGTATACGTGTATAGATAAAAAGTAAATATATCTCAATTTCAGTACAATTAAAGCTTGTTTCAGTAACTATAATTCTAAATAATATTTATATGTAAATGATTAATCATTGGTGATATATAGGACGAAATAACCTATTAAAAATGATATTAAATATTAAGTCTGCTTTAAATATGTAGTAGTAGTAATTTAGTTAGGGAACAGATTAACTAATCACTTAAGTAAACGATTTCTTTATATGCTACAGTATTACTATTGCCAATTTTTTTTAAAGAATAGCATCAATGGGAAAATAGTACTTAAATGAATAGCGCTAATTTCGATGTCAAAACTATAATGATCATCATACATGATAACTATTTAATAATCCTTTTCTATTGTGAATGCAGGAGCAAGGGTTATTGTTTTAAGTTGTTCACCACCGGAAGCAAAAGTTATCATAACTCGAGCTCACTACATCGGACTACTACCGAATAAATATCAATGGATCTTATTTAATGACGTCTTTGCTAGTGTAATTATTTGTGTTTAATCCATATAAAGAGATACAGTTTGATTACTTAGATGCAATCAAATCATTACCAAGTCATTACCACTCCCTCTGACTTACATCTAATTTGTTACATGATCTATACCTTTATTATAATAATTTTGTCTGCCTTAATCGACAAGTAATACGCCATTTTTATAAATCATAATTTTGGCAATGTTCTAGCTGAGTAATTTATTGCGCTAATAGTAAAATATTATTTTTATACAGGGAACAATTGGTAACAATCCACCAAAATACTTAGATGGAGTTTTAGGAATAAGTAATTCCCATAATCAAGGTCCATTATATTATCCGGTCGTAACAGCTTGGAAAAATAAATATAATAAGGAATTGCAGGTTATTATCATAATATTTATTAGAAATTTGATTTAATTTTAAATTGAACTCTAGTCTAGTACCGACGCAATAAGAACATTTTCATCTTCTTATTTATCTTTCCTTCTTGCCATGGTTTTAAATGATATTTTTAACGTCATATTGATCTTTTGCTGTTTAACTATGTTAAGCCTTCCAATTTGATATAATTAAAAAAATGGTACTATAACTACCTTTACTTTGCTATACGCCTTTGCAAATCATTCTAGCCGGGATTTCTCAGGTATTACGATGCTGTCATGGCTATCGTTTATGGCATTGATAATATAACAGATCAATTGGACAGTATCCAACCAACAAATACAGCGTGTAGTCCAATCACTCCTTGGAGAAACGGGAAGATTGTTATGAACAGTATAGCAAAGGTGATTAAACGTATATTTTGAATATATATATAGCCATTAACTTAAAAAAGTAGATTTAAATCCTTCCCTCAATTAATTGCTTAAAGATGAACATATAAAAAATTGTTATGGTACATATTTATGAATATCATACCAGTATTTTTACTAATTAGAAATTAAACACCCCCATTTTAGGCTACAGGTCCAGGAGTTGTAAGCAGAATTCAATTTAATGAAGATTTTGGGCCTTTAAATCCCGTCTATCAGATTGTCAATCTTGTTAATCAAACATGGAGAACGGTAAGGCTAAAAGAATTGATTAAGCTTGAAATGCGACATAGATTCTGACGTATATGTCTACGACAGACTATTATGGCTTTATACTGATGAAATTTTCCTTAATGTAGTAAACGATATTAATTATTTAATATAATATGACTGACTGCATACTTATGTTACCAAGATAAATCAATATATGCGAGACTGCAGTATGTGAATAGACAGTATTAGTAAAAAAGACTTGTTCAAATTGATATTAGAATAGACTTCTCTATCGCTGACGTAAATTGATAAACGGTCAAGATCTAAGTGCAATCATGAATAATGCTGGAGTAGAATTAAGACCTTCACATATTTTTCTGCAATTTACAAATATTTACTCATGTACAGCTTCCTTGCTCTTCGAATTATCTATTAAATCAAACAGGTAGGATACTGGTCCCAAAACAATGGCAGTGTAATAGATCAAGACAGTATTAAATTTATGGGCAATGTCCCTAGTCCTACTCTTTTTAAAACAGGTTTAGAAGGCAAACACATGAAGATTACTACTAAAATTGTAAGTTTAAATATATTGCTATCAGCATATATTTTATTGGGTATCCCCATCAAGTTTAAATATGGTATACTTTAACATATCTTCTATACATAAATAGCTTTATTTCATTTAAAACACGCAAACATAAGTTTAAGACATCTTAGTCAATAATTAATCAGTCCAACAAAAACATTAGAACTTGATTTCTATCCGGATAATATTTCATGTGCCATCTTCTCTTTTAACACGTAATATAGGAATCACCTTTCGTAAACTGGAAGATGTCAGCAGATAATTTAGAAGGAAATTCAAGATTTGAGGGTTTCATTGTTGATTTATTAAACGAATTAAGTAAATCATTGAAATTTCAGTTCACTTTAGAAGTCGTCAAAGATAATAGCTATGGTGGGTTTAGTCTTATTTCTCAAGAATGGAACGGAATGGTAAAGGATATAATTGACGAGGTTAGAAAACATGTCTTAACGTTATAAGATAGTGATAGTTCAAATTATGCTAGGAATTTAATTTAACTCTACAAATAAATTACTGTATCACATGTTACGTGCTCACCTTTTAATGCAAAAACTGTCTAGTAATAGCTGCTTTTATTGTCGTAATTTATCTGTATCTATTTATAAATCCGACGGCGATTGAAATTGTAGAAGGCCGACATTGCTGCAGGGGCATTTTCTATCACAGTTAAACGATCTGAAGTTATTGATTTTACAATTCCTTTCATGGATCAAGGAGTAACTATTTTAATGACCAAACCAAAGACTCCTCCAGTATCCATTTTTAGATGCTTTGCACCATTCAATCTTTCCTTATGGATTGTTATTGGAGTATTTTTAATCGTTATAGCGATCTTATTTTTTGTAGTCGGTATTCTTAGCCCCTATGACTCATTCATTGACGCGGTTCAACACTTACCAATTTGCAAACGCTTAAAAGCTGAAGGAAAAAATAATGATCTGAAAAATGCACAGCAAAAATGGAAAGATGATTATGGAGAGGTTGTTGCATCCATGAATTTGGGCAATTCATTATGGAATTCTGTGTCGACTTTTCTACAACAAGGACATGATAGGCCTCCTACTGCTATATCAGGAAGAATTATGCTAGGTTCTGCATGGCTTGCTTCATGTATTATAATTGCTACCTATACTGCAAATTTGGCAGCCTTCTTGACCGTTGAAAATTTAAATTCTGGTAACAATTTCTAATTGCAGTTCTTATAGCTTCTTATTTAAAAATAAATTTGATAACTAAGTATCGAATAATTTTGCTTTGATGCAGCAATATGGATATTATTCATACTAACTACAATTGATTTATTCACCATTAATCCAATTTTATCATAAAGCAAAACTTGTGTAGGAATACTTTCAAATCATGTAATGTCAATCTCTATACTGTACTACTAAAGATCAATGATCGTTTGCTTGTCTGCATGTTTGCAATTGAGTATAGTAACAACGGCATATTGTAGTAGAACTTTTGCAGCATTAGAAAATACAGAATGATAGTTGGGCTTATCACTACGGTATCTAGAACCTTAAATTGCCGTAATGTTTAATGGAAATTATATGGTTAACATCACGCTACAATATAATTATGAAAACTCCAATTTAACATACAATTGAAGCTGATGGTAAAGAGAAAAGCCTTCTTACATTAAACTTATCGGTTAACGGTTATAATAATGTTATCAATCCTAAATCCCAGTAAATACCATATACTTGCAGTACGCCGATAATAGAGCAAAATATCTTCGACATGTATAAGCAACTATAGCATAGTTTCCTCTTACTGAACTAATATATGCTTTATTGTACCTAATTATATGTTGATTTATTTTCATTGACGGTGTACTTTCAATAGAAATTAATTCTTTGCAACAGCTGGCTTCCCAAAGTAAAGTTAAATATGGAACTGTACAAGGCAGTAGCGTCTATAACTTTTTTGAACGAGCGACAATGGCCCCATACAATGAAATGGCACAGCGTCTAATCAATGTTCCAAATACAGAAGCTGGTATTAATAAGACTAAGAATGAAGATTATGCATTTTTATGGGATGCAGCTATAATCGACTATTACAAAAACAAATATTGCACGCTGAATACAGTTGGAGGACAATTTCGAAAAGATGGATATGCTTTAGGGTTAAGAAAAGGGTCACCATTTACCCAAGAAATCAGTATTGCCATCTTAAAATTACGACAAAGTGGTTATATCGAGCATACTCTTAAAAAATGGTAAGTTAGAAAAGCATTTTTTTTATCCAGAAAGGTACCATAGATATTACCTAAAAGGAAACGAATGAATTTACCTTTCTTTTAATAGTTCCGATAATTAAATTTGTTGATCAGCTTAGGTTGTTAAGATATATTAAATAAAGTAAGATATATTTAAATAATTTTTCGATACATACAGATGTATAAATATTATGCAAGACATCTATTAATTTTACCTCTCCAGTTACTATTAACCTATTTTATATAGTATATCTTATAACACCGAAAACGCACGTAGTAATGTTAAATATCGAATTGCGGGATCTAAATATGCATAACGTAGCCATACAGAATTATACTTTAACAAGTTGATAATGTGCACAAAATTTTTGTTCTTGAGGTACTTGCGTTAAAGTTACATTTAAATCTCAGCATAGACAGGAATTTCAATTCAGTGGGTGATCCAATACATGAATATTGTGAGATAAAATTAATAAATTGTTATATGCACAAAATACACATAAATTTTGATACTACATAAATAAAATAGGTTACAGCAGCAATCTCACTTTGCTGATAGCTATTTCATTGGATAAATATTGCATATTGATTTTAACAGCTTCATCAGTTTGGTAATATCTTATTAACGGATTATAGGTATCAGAAAGCCGGTCAATGTGCAACCAGTAAGACAACCACCAGCTACAAACAGATCGATATCAATCACTTATATGGTGTATTTGTTTTAACATTATGTGCTGCAGGTGTTAGTTGCTTAGTTTTGTGTATAGAATGGATTATAACTCTGCAACGAGATGTCGATAAGTCTGATCCTGAGGCAAGTAAAATATGCCGATTAAAAGTGAAATTAGATACTAATTCTCATTTATATTCTATGTTACATATTTAGTGTTGAGAAAGTACCCGTATGTATATAGTACATTAGTAGAATAAAATTTAAGTGTGCGATATTAGCTAGTTCTAAAGAGAACCAATGTTGTGTAGTTATTTATACTCATGGCAAGTAGGTAAAGCAGTTCAACTATGATTGATTGACATATTAAGAACAATTCTAAATGTGTTTCTATAACACTGTAATTATTTATTAACTTTATTATACAACATTGCTTATACTATGGTAGCGCGAGCAATGTTTGCTATGCATCTATATTAATATTTTATACGAGAGTTGCTCGGAAAATAGATTATACATTAAATTTTTTTATTACCGGATTAGTATCGATATACTTCCGCTGATTTCACAGCATGACATCATAATGCACAAATTTCACTAGTTCTATCTAGGACTATGATTTAAGCTATACTATTTCATACAGTAAATTCTTACACACTCACATTAAGAGTTAAAGAATGATTACATATTAATATTATGTATTATATACTCATCTAATTTTACCTAACATTTCTATTTCCTTATTTTAGGCATTACTGTACATGTTAATGCTAATAGATCAGTATACTACAAATTGGATTAAAGTTCTAATTGCACCTTTAAATTTTTATTTCTTTGTACTAGAAACCACAATCAATTTGGCAAGCAGTAAAAATAAGATTTACTCAATTTAAAACGGCCAATCGACTGGTAAAATCAAAGTTTATTCTTCCTTTGCAGTTTAGTATCTCCAATAACGACTTCAGAAGACATAGTATGTTACAGATACATGGAGAGAAAATATCATCTCCAATAGCTTGCTGAATTTCTCCCAGCATAACTTAGTGATTGATGTTAATAAAATTTCGAACACCATTTGCTATGAGTTTTTACACTATAGCGTAATGTTTGGTGATTATGTGCCTAAGTATGCCGCATAATTTAAACCTGGTATAAAGTTACCTTAACATTTTATGTAATTACAATTTATTCTTGCGATGTTCTCGAAATTTTGAAGGAAATTGTGATTTAATACCGTACTCTGTTAATGAAATTACTCTTTACTTTACATCTCATATGTAAAAGTAAGACAACACTAAATTGAAAAATTGCATATTCATCCTTTACGCGCATTTCCTAAATTTTCGATGTAAACATCATATTGATTAGCTTACAAAAATATTACCTAAGATTAGGCTTCTGTAACCACATTCACTTGTATTTCATTCACATTTGAAATCAATCAATTTCTATAGAGTAATTGATATTGTATACTATGATTCTGTAACTACATATATTTAATATTTCATAAATTTAATTCGGTAGCTACAATATAAAAATAAATAAAGTCGACGAAAATGTAACAATTGCTTACACTACTTAGTATAATAATTTGCTTTAATTTTATAATATCGAAAGTGAATGCAATGAAAGTTAATTTTTAGAATTTTCCTTCAAGTTCTTATATCGTAATTATTCTTGCCTAGTTTTTTTTTATTGTGATAAGTATTCTAGCTTTAAAATTATGACTTACTTGGTTGATTATAATAGTAGATTTTACTTAATATTTTCTTATATTGTAAACCCAACTGCTTTATTCGGGTTAGAAGTTAGGATAATCCGTAGCATAGGTTTTGTTAAGAATCGGATATTATGATTTTGTAATTCAAGCGATGTATTTAGTAATAGGATATATGTGTTCTAATTTTGATCATTAATTATAGTAGAAGTTAATGTTTCTTTGTAATTTCATACAGTATGAATCCCAAACATTTGATCTGGAATTGTTGATTTGTCTTATTGTTTACTATAGAAAGGTACAGTTTCAAGCTATACTATACTTAGTATCAATTAGTTGTTTTCTTGAGTCTAGGGTATAATTTATCTCATCGAGTGTGTTTGATTGCTAGTTTAATTTGGAGTACTTTAGAATGATAGTTGGATAGTCTAATGCTACCAACTGCTATGTGTAGTATATAAAAGGCAGCGTAGTTCGGTAATTTACTGCAGTTAAATTAGAGAAGACAAGAGAAGAAAAGAGAAATCTAGGATAATCGTGAGTTATCTCATTAATTGATAGTTTGGTTGATTGGGGGCAGTAGTTCTGTCCGTATTTTGTTACTCATTTAAGAAGTTTTGCTAAGATAGTTATTAAAGTTATAATAAACCGGTGTTTTTTCCCTAATTCATTTTGTTTGGACTTCAATTGTTGGTAGTGTAATTTAATTTAGTAAAATTTTTTTTTTTGACATACGATACTATTTTAACATTAAATTCCCTTACTGATTATTGGCGAATAGAGAAAAAGTCTATTGTAAGTCCTGAGAATTAATATTATGACTAAGTTGAAGACCATAAATCGTAATTGCTAGGTCATTTAGTTTATAAAAGGAAAAAATCTATTGTTAACCTTGAGAATTAGTGTTATAACTAAGTTAAACACTATAAATCATAATTTTTGGAAGGTTTAGTTGAAGAATAGTAAACAACTAATTTAAATTTACGGAGGTTATGATATTGCTAAATTTAAATTATCTGTTAAAAGGTTCCACTCAGCTATGTGATTATTTAGTAAGGTATATAAAAAATTAATTGTAAAGCATGTGAATTATGATATTACTAATCTTAATGCTATTAGAATATTGCTGGTATTGTACCACAGCAATATTTCATTATAGAGGAGTTTTCAAGTTTAGTAGCATAGCTTTGTTTAGATTACGAGATAGTTCACACTTTACACGCCTTGTACTGTAATATGTGATATGTCATTAATTCACATTAGGTCGTATATCAATACTTGATGATCCTGTAAATAGGCATAATGTAATCTTATGATCTTATATTATTCATCAGATATCTATGCTCTAAATATTGCCGTATTAATTAGACATTTAGGTATAAATTTACCCGATTACATAAGCGCTGTTGAAATTATTATAACTTCTGGCTCCAAGGAAAGGTATATAAAAAATAAAATTATTTCTTCAATTTAGTGTTTAACGTTAAGTTACAGTCGTACAAATCACTAAATATCTGATTGTGTAATAACCGAGTAATAGTCCTCTGCTATTACTGTAGATTTACTTACCTAACCCCAAATTTGAATTAACAAAATGGAGTAATTCCTTAACGTGATACACGAATATATTTTGCTATCATATACTGCCTTCACTGGAGAATCCCAGTCATCTACTAGAAACAGCACAAGTACACCATCTCATCCTATTAGCTACCTGCTGTACTACTACAATTAACTAAAATCAATACAGAGGAATTAGGGATAAATATTCCTAAGTATTACTTTAGATGGATTTTAGTGCCTTGATACGTATTTCAAGGCGACAATTTGTAGATCTAGCTTTTTCGTTATTTTGGTCATAGAACTGGTTTATGACATACTGGTATAGGGCATTAATAAAATTGATGTTAATTTAAAATTCCATATTGAATAGAAAATACTATTTGCGGTAAAAGCGTTTTAACTAAGCCCTTGATCAGTTTGTTAATAGGCATAGATGGTATAACTTAGCCCAAATACAAATCACTATAGTAATGGACGATAAAGCTGATATTTTTACTTTGTTGCTGTAGTAATTACTTGAATTGTCTCCTATAATTACAAAAAACAATGGAATCATTACAAAATTTTTAACTACAAGTGCCTTTTTATTCCCATTTCATGCTCGATCATACTATAAAATTGGAATTTCAACTTTATCGCTTTAGAACTTACTGGAAATGTCTTCACATGGTTACAAAAAGCCATAGAATAATTACTAAAGTTATTAACTATGAGCACCTTTTTCTTTCCATTTCATGTTCAAGTATAGACTGTAACATAACTCTAAATATGCTTAACTTATGTTTAACAATTTACACTGTAGAAATCTGTTAGACTCTAGCTAGATTATACCGTAGCATTATCCTTATATAGAAGTAACATATTATTATGAATCATTCGTGTCTATAAGTAATTTCCTCCTGCTGTGTCTTAACATTATAAAAGCTATCTTCTTCGCCTATCTCATTAGTTAGTTCTGGTAGTTACACGGTAAGTTTGCACACTTTACCTATTCTACACTACTATAGTTATTCGACTAGTCACGTCGTTACTCGCGCGATAATCTTATACG